AAGGCGTGCGCCACCACTGCCCGGCCGAGAACACTTTTAAAAGCTTTTGAAAAAGATGTTTGATTACATCTTGTGTGTATGATTTGACTAAATGTACATATATGCACCATGTGTGCCTGGTGCCTTTAGAGACCAGGAGAGGGCATTGGATCCCCTAGAAGTGGAGTTACAGTTGGCTACCTGAAGCAGGTACTGGGAAATGAACCCAGGTCCTCACCAAAAGCAGGTATTCTTAACCACTGAACCATTTCCCTGGCTACTCCTGTCCTCATAAAGACAGGGTCACTAACATTAAGGAAGCCAAGGCAGAATTGGACCCAACATAGCAAATTCAAGGCCAACCCAGGCTACATGGTAAGACCTTGGGGTGGAAAAAGGTCACTACCAGCAGCATCTGTCTGGTTGCTGAACCAGAGTCTTTGGCAAGTCTTTCTGGCCTATCATTGGAATGCCCAAAATGGTTTAGGTCACCCATTACTTCAGCTGGCCTACTGAAGGACAACCATTTATCATACCCACTACCAGAGATGACATCATAGTTTCTCCTCCCCCATCTACATGTAAAAGAGTAAGCATGTGGTTTTCAGTTTTTAAAGACTGAGATTAGAAATCTACCCCAAACCAGGCAGTGATGGCACATACCTTCACATTAATCCCAGCACTTGGCAGAGGCAGGTGGATCTCTGTGAGTTCGAGGCCATCCTGGTCCACAAGAGCTAGTTCCAGGACAGCCAGGGCTACACAGAGAAACCCTGTCTCAAAAAAGAAAGAAAGAAATCTATCCCAAGAGCCTCTTAAAAATAGCCAGCACTCTACTCTTACTGTAAGAGAATCCTAAACTCACAGTAGAACAGATCATCAGAGTTTCTGTATGCCTGTTCTCAGACCTCCCACAAGGTTCTGGAGTCCATTCTAGAACCTTTCTTATCCACTGGCAGAGGTGGACCCAGGAAACACTTTTTAGGTGTTCTGAGATACATCCAGGTTTGGGAACCACTAATTCTGCTTTACAAAAGATACAAGGCTCTGGGTCACTATCAGCCAGCAGGCCCAAATCTTTAGTTAATCTAAACTGCAATTTCGCCTCAGCATGCAAAGGAGAGAAAAAACTGTTTCTTTTGTATGTGAGTGTGCCATGGCATGTGTTTGCCAATCTCTAAATATGCACAAGGCTCAGGTTCAAAGGTTTGATCTCCCCCCCATATGTAAAATGCAATTTCTAAGAGTTTCTTAGCTTCAGCTGTATTGACATGCTGGGTGCAGAAGTCCTTATAACGGCTGCCCTGTGCCTTGAAGGACAGTCATCCAGCATCAATTAAGATGTCCCCTGGAAGCAAATAGCTGCTTATATAACTTTGAGCAGAATCCGCTAAGCCTCAATCTACGTGGCACCAGAGTGGGGAATAATTTTGTGTTCACAAACTTTTTACCTCTTATGAGAGCACTATGAGAAGAGCAGAGAGGAGAGACTCCACGTTTCTTCCCTTCTCTGAGCAATCACATCCTGCAACACCTACAACCCCAAATCTAACAGACCAATCCTAGGCAACCACAATCCTGCAAGTCTATGAAGCTCTTACCACACACACAGCATCACCGTGAAGATCCTTACGTACCACATTTTATGGTGACGTCTCTAGGAGCCAATTCCAATCTAAAAGAGTAATTAAGGCAACAGACTTCATTCTAACAGAAGTAACCTTAAGGCGTTTATTCTCAAAATAGGAGTTAAAAAGTTGAGCCTCAGTAAACCACAACTCTTCACAACTCTTCAGACAGGGATAACTTCAAATCATCCTCGGCTCAACCAGTAACAAACCCCTAAATCCCCCCCAACTCAAGATCATTTCCCAAGTCTCCCCTCCATCCCTGTACACCATGTCATCCACGGTGATTTCGAGAATGACACTTGGTGGCCCCAAGTTACACTGGCAGACCCTCTCTTCTGCACTTCAGGTAGAAACTCTTACCGAAATGGACTCATGGTTCAACATGCGTTCTTACAGCTGAACTTCAGAACTACCGCATGAAGCAGATGCCCACCATCTATCTCCACCGTCTTTCTGGTGGCCACACCGGTCCGTTTATGCTTAGGGATCCTGCCATTACTTCTGGAATGGCACCTCCAGCTCTGCTTCCCCACGTCTCCACCGGTGCCAAAGGCGTGCCTTCGAGGAAGGGGAAAACATGCCATGTAAAACCATGGGTTTTCTGTTTACAATCCCCTTTATTACCATCTGCAGTCATTCAACGATGTCAAGGCACTACCAGCAGGCACACGGATTCACATTTAATTCTGGAATTAAAACCACCACCCTCAATGGAGACCCCAGGAACCGCATGCTCCACGCACGGCTGGCTGTGAGGCCCAGGGGGCTGGGCAAGTTGGAAGGACCCCCGAGAGACGGGAATTCGAAGCCTAAAACGGGCTTCAACCCTCTTTCACATAAAACTCCTCGCAGTCTGGAAAGCGTTTTTTTATTTTTTTTAAAGACAGACTCTCAAGACCATCTAAGCCCTTTAACGGCAAAGGAGAGGAAGTGTTGTCCTTGCCACTTCACCTCTGGAGGAGAGGCCATGCATGTCGGCAGGACGTGGAGAGAAAAAAAAAAATCTCATCTCCCCTCTCCCACTGCTTACCAACACCCCAAGCCCTAGCCTTTTCAGTGAGTGCACGGCGGACAGAAGCGGCCATGACTTCTACACACGCGGCGGCGGACCTCGGAAAGGGCGAGGTTGCGCCTGCGCGCAGTCTTCCCCCCGCCCCAGTCTCGCCGGGACTCTCGCGGTGTTGAGAAAGACCTGATGGGAAATGTAGTTCTAAACTAACCGTTGCCGAGAGCTGGTCATCTCACCCCAGAGTGAAGTGAAGAGAAGGGGTCAGATGGTGACCGTCACCAGGGGGCAGCAGAGCTTCCTGGGTGGGAAGTTTGATCTGTGGAGAACCTCGGCGGTCCCTGGCTAAAGCTAGGGAAGGGAAGGACGTTCGAGGGCGCAGGGACCAATGAGGAAACTGAGGATCGTTGTGAATTGCTCTGCGGATTTTATCTGGGGTGGAGAGGCGACCCTTGGATTTGCTCGTTAGTGAAGCCCCGGGAGTCCCAGGGCTGCTTTTAAGACGGGGGGCGAGAGCCGGTGCAGGCGGCAGGGGGCGCTCGAGCCGTAGGGTCCCGCCTGCCTGGGACACTGTTCTAAGGGGAATAGCATGAAACCGTGCAAACAGCGGTGAGGGGACAGAGCCGCAGGTCCAGGCTGTCACCTCCAGAAGCCTCGAGTGACCTCGACTTCAGTGACAGCCGACCTCGTCCCGGCCTCGGTGCTGAAAGGACTTGAGGACTAGCCAGTATAAGTTAGAGATAAAATAATGTTGATAGAGGTAGTGAGCGTGAGGACTGGGGGAAAGAGAGGCGCTCGGAAGAATGACACACCCCAGTGTGGGAACGGGCTCAGGTGAGCGTTGCAGGTAGCATTAGCCATGTATACTATTTCGGTGGCTCTTGAGTTGCGTCTCAAGCGGTTGCTAGGAGACCCCCCCCCTTTTCTTGCTCTCTTGGTAAGTGAGATAAGTGTGGAGGCTCCAGAGGGGCTTTGGATGGAACTGTGGTCCAGAAGCCACTAGGGCTGGCTTAGGGAGGTTTAGTTGTGTCCCTCCCCTTGTAAATGTGGTTGGTCTCTGGTGAGAGTCCCAGAAAACTGTAGTTTCATATCTGGGAAGAGAGAAAAGGCCTTAAGTGGTTGGTAATTCATGCTTCTCTGTTAGCAAGAGCCTCCAAGCAGATTCCTGAATGAGGGACCCTTCTCCTTTCATGGCCCCGAGGTTTTCCATGCCTTTCTCTCCTGCCCGATGTTGAGTGTCTTTCTTCAGTCACTGTCTTGCCTTCATTTTTTTAATCGGGCAAAATGCCAAGGCAGGGCCAGAACGTACACCTATTTAGAAACGAGTTTAAATTGGCAAGACCTTGTCTTCATAACTCTTATCCATTCCCCTGGAATAGGACTCGGTAGCATTTAGCTTGTACCATTTTTTTAAATGTGGAAATCTGTTGCTGATACATATTCTTAATGACCATATTTGCTTATATTTCTCTCTTTTAATTTGATTGTGAATGCTTCATGAGCAGGGAGATGTCTCTTAATATTTTCTTAATTTCCTCAGTGCTGGGTTTCGTGTTTGGCTGTCTTCTCACAGAATGTTCCAAGGAAATAACCACTAATTTATTCGGCAAGAACACAGGCCCTTGAATTTGTCTATCTTACCCTTGAAGACAGATTATTTTGTTTAATACTGAAAGCAAGAGCGCCTTTCCCCCCGGCACACTAAGATCTTTCATCTGAGACTTGCAGAGGGAATTCTGAAGAATTTGCCCAGAGCTGCTCGTGAAATCTGTGGGCACGTGACCTTCTGCAGAAGAGATAATCATGGCAGTTAATACTTTTTGGGATTTGCTGGGTGGCTATTCACTATATTGGGTTCTTTAATCCTCCCAATCTATGAGGCACTATTATTATCCCATTTGACAGACGAAGAGATACATCTTGAGAGATGAGATACTGTTTGAAGTCACATGAGTATCTGGCAGACTTGGTTTGATCGAAGCCTGTGGAGTTTATGCATTTATCACTAAGTTGCTCCGTATCATGAGTAAATCGATCTAATATGGAAGAACTTTTCTTTTATGGGGAAAAGAGACACAAAGGAGGATTTTTGTATCTTTTTTTAAAAAAAAAAAAAAGTAGGGTTGGGGATTTAGCTCAGTGGTAGAGCACTTGCCTAGCAAGTGCAAGGCCCTGGATTCAGTCCTCAGCTCAGGAAAAAAAAAAAAATTATTGCTGGGCGTGGTGGTGCAGCACTTGGGAGGCAGAGGCAGAGGATTTCTGTGAGTTCAAGACCAGCCTGGTCTACAGAGCGAGTTCCAGGACAGCTGCACAGAAACCCTGTCTTGGGGGCGGGGTGGTTATGTATGTGAACATGTATGCAGGTGGCACAGAGGTCAGAGATCAACTTTGGGTGCCTTTCTCAAACACCCTCCACCTTATTTTTTTAAATCAAAATCTCTCACTAAACCTAGAGCTTGTGGATCTGGCCAGGCTGACTGGAGCTCCTGGGATCCCCCTGTCTCCCCTCCCCCAGAGCTGGGATTACAGGCACATGCCACCGTACTCAGTTTATTCTTCCATTTTGTTTACTTACTTATTTATTTTGTGGGGGAGGGGCTGGGGAATGTTTTACCTGCATGTATTTCTCTGCACCATACTTGTGCCTGGTGCCTACAGAGGACAGAAGAGGATGTCAGATTACCCTGGAACTGGAGTTACGGTTGTGAAGTGACCTTTGGTTTCTGAGAATAGAGTCTGGATCCTCTGGAAGAACAAATGCTCTTAGCCACTGAGCTATTTCTTCAGCCGCTGCAGCCAGCTGCTCATGTGAGTGCCTGGGATGTGGGCTTCTGTCCCGGCTGCAAGTTTTCTGTCTTTACAGAGGTGGCTGGAGACTAATAAAAAATGCTGACTGAAGAACGCTGAGCACCTGTTTTGTTGGTTAGAGCCACATGGTGGCAGAGTGGGGATGGGCATCTGTAGGAGCCACTTTCTGGATCTGGCTGTCCCGTCTTGGGGGCCCGAGGCTAATGCCTCCCACTCTACAGAGAGGCCGCTGTTCCCAGCTCCTCACTCTGCCATAGGTCTCTGTGTGGATTTCACCCCTGACAAGGGCACAGTTTCTCCTGCACAGCTCATTTGTGCATCACTGAACAGCCACAGGCACACAACCAATTCGGGTGCCACCAGCAAGCTGGGCAGTGGCCAAGAGGCTGGAGCAAACTCCAAGAGGCCTTGTGCCTGAGCACACACGAGACACAACTGTGTAGGCAGTCTAGAAATAACTGGAGAAGCTTCAAAGTCTGCAACAGAATTCCTGAATGAGCAGCCAAGGACAGAGCTGCTCAGAATGAAGTGCTAACGTTACTGTGATCTCATTTGCACTCTGCTGCTGAGATCAAGTGCATCTGAGTCTTGCACACAGCAGAACCCTATAGCCGTCCTACCAGACTAGTGCAGATCACTCTTACCATGTAAAGAACCACAACCTGGCGCTAAGTGTCAGAAGTGGACAAGCTGAGGATTGCCCCAGTGCGGGGGGAGACCCAACCTCAGAGTGCACAGGGGAAATCAGTCAGGTGGCCTCCTGTGCTGGGGCAGTCACCGACAGGACTGAAGTCAGATGCCGCGGTGTCTGAAACCCACAGTAAGAAAGCAGTCTTTACAATATTGAAATTCCCTTCTTAATTACAAAGGGAATCTTCGATTTTATTAATAAGGTCCTGAAGGAGGTTGGTGGTGGACTCCAAGCAGCCAGCTGCTTACACTGGAAGCGGCCACACCAGTGATCTCACAGGAAGTATGTCTGTATGCAGGCATGTTGGTGGTCGGCCTGGAAGCTGGTCTTCCTCTATCTTGTCTACAATACGAGCCAAGTGTGGGGAATTCTTCTTTAAAAGCAACCTCCTCTCTTCTGGCTCCGGGACATGGTAGAGATGTGATGCTTGGGCTTGCCACGGCCGTCTGGAATCTGCGAGGCTTCCTTCAAAGCAAGAGTCAAATGCCTCTGAAGAGGGACTGGAAAGAAGAACGGAGTCCTTGAGGCTGCTGGCAGGCTGCTGAGACAGCCAGTCCTGAAGCCTTGGCTTTCATCTCTCATTGGTTTAGAGACACACGTTCACGTTTACCATTTCTGTGTGTAGGATACACCTTAAAAGTTTCAGTGAAGTACAGGATGTGAGACACAAGAAACAAATGTCATTGTTTAAGCCATTTCAAGCTGGGGTTCTGTCAAGAGTCCTAATCATAATAAATGACAGTGGCATTTCCATGTCTTCATAAAGAATTCCTTGGAAGAAGCTGGGCATGGTGATGCATATTTTTAAGCCCAGCACTCAGGAGGTAGAGGCAGGTGAATTTCTGTGAGTTCTACCAGCCAAGGCTGCACAGTGAGATTAGATTTCAACAAACAAAAAACACCTTCACCCATAAAAAAAAGCCATACCTTCACCCACCTTATCTGCAGAGCTGTTTCCTCTAATAAAATTACTAATAAAAAAAACCAGATTTTTAAAAGTAAACAAATTTGAAGCCTAGGCAGTATTGTCTGGACCTCATCTGTTTCCTGGAC